GTCATAATCTGTGTTCATTCTAGAATGAAAGAGGCATAATTTATGTTTATTTCCTAATTTTTTTATGGTGGTTACGAGATCATTCAAATCTACCGTACAGAAATTAATTACTGAAAATAACAGATAAAATGTAAAGTTTTTTCTTAAGAAACATTTTATAACTATCCAGACATTATAAAGACTTAGCATGTGAAATTTCAAAATTTTCTGATGCATAAAAGTATTTTTAATCTTAAAATTAATATTAGTTTGCATGATAGATAGGCACAATGTGAAAAGAAAAAAGGCATGAGAGAAACATTGCTTTACAAACCTTATGACTTAATCAAAAAAAATATTTTGCATATGAAAGCACTGTAATGTTTACCGATAATCTGCCAAATTTCATTAACAATTGCTTACTAATTTAAAAGTTATAGCATGAAAACTATAACAAGCACAAAATGGTTACGAAATAGGCACATTGACTGACCCTGTATTGAAAGAGTTAAAAGCAAAGGAAAAACATTAATTCTTGGATATTACAATATTTGGGACTTATCTGTAATCTGGAAAGTTATCTGTAAAATAAAAGTACCCTAGCTCCAGCTTGAAGTTCTTCTTGATATTTGTCTTCTAAGGTTGCAACCTGCTGTTGTAATTCTGCATTCTGTTTATCCATTTGTGCCAAACAATTAGTTTTTTCTTCCAGTTCTGTTTCTATGGAAACCTATATAAAATCATGGTAACTCTTTAACAGCTATTATTAGGTGTAATAACAGTTCTGTAAAATTACTACTCAACTACAAATTATAAGTATTTATAGATAAAGAATGACAGGATTTTGTAATTTCCACAGTTGGCAGATTGAAAAGTGTCATAAAACATTATGATCTGGTAATATAAGTTACTGTTGGTACCTTAAAATGTTAGAATAACAGAAGTTTTTAAACAATTATACATGTAACATGACACTGAGCTTGAAACTGATTTAAGATACAAAAAATAACAATACATGATAGATGACATCTGTTGACCTAGAAACTAAAACTCGAGACATAATATCCCAACTATTAACTCTTAATGTATCAAGTACCTATACAATCAAACTGCTAGCCATGAAAGAGTAGGCTTAGAGTACACAAGCAAATACTAAATTTACAGTACTCTGTCCTATAGTAGGTTTACAGTACAGTAATATTTGTTATATGTAAGACCCAAACATTATATCCATAACTACATGTACCATACAAATTTTTAATTGCACCATTGATTTGGCCAATTTGTGAAGTTTAATATTTTCATTCATCTTGTTGGTGTTTTAAAAAAAGTAAGTATCAGAAGTCAAATTCCTATGCTGATACATAGTTTATATTAAATACTGCTTTCACTGGTTTGATCGATTGTTATGACAAATATTTTTTCTGACATAAATGAAGTGTAAATATGACAAGTTAATGATAAATCACTCCTTACAGACTTGAACCATGACAACTTACAATACTTTTTGATATGAATTAAATGAGAATAAGCAAGAACTCATATAATACAGAAGTAATCAACAATCTGATTGACACATGAAATAAGAAAATACATATCTCTCAGACCTACAATTCCCACAGTTAATACAGGCCAAGACACAATATATGACAAATTACTTACAGTCTTTTATAGTAAAACAGTCATGTTTTTCTTTGATGTAAAATATTTCAAAAACTGAAAGGACATCAATAACATACTTATCTAGGACTCACTAAATGTCAAAGTGGTACAATAATTGAAATATTATTTTCTCTTTTTTTTTTCAGTACATTTTCATGCTCACCATTTATATCTAGTTAACAAGCGGGAGTCTTGTTTGAATTTCAGTATTATCATCACAATTAAGAATTTTAATTCTAAGAACACAGTAAACGTTTTCTGAATGTTTAACCATTATGTGACTGAAACAATTTTTATTTAATATACATTTCCTTTAAGTAATACTGGTGACAAAAGTGGGCATGTTCATTCTACTCTTTGTTTCACATAACTTACAATTTTTCACAAACGTGTGCGGTGAGGTTGACTGAGATACAAAATATAAAATGATCATAACATTTCATAGGAATATCACATCAAGAAACCACATCTTCATACCAGCAGCAATATTTTTATATGTAATTCATGTTCTTTTTCCCATTGAGGTTGGTCTAAATGGTTTATTAATTTTTCTCTATAAACTATCTCTATATATAAAAGTGAAATCTGTTGTATGTTTGTCAGCTCACACCTTGCACACTATTTGACCAATCTCCACCAAACTTGGTATGGTGACTTCTACGGTCCCCAGAAGTAGCATGGAGAGGTCAAAATTCTGTCTGTCCATCTGTCATGGCGATAACTTTGGGCATATAATAGTTAGATTCGATTTAAGGGTAGGTCGACAGATTGTGATGAATAATAACATCTAATTGGGTATATGCACACCCCACGTCTGGTATTGCTGGCACATAAAAATCGTAATAATTGGCTGAAATTCCCTATTATGTTTACATGGTTGTCTGTCCATCCATCATGGCGATAACTTTGGGCATATAATAGTTAGATTCGATTTAAGGGTAGATCGACAGATTGTGATGAATAATAACATCTAATTGGGTATATGCACACCCCACGTCAGGTATTGCTGGCACATAAAAATCGTAATAATTGGCTGAAATTCCCCATTATGTTTACATGGTTGTCAAGGGGGCACAATGACGCAGCATCACCAAATTTTGTCCAATCGGAACCCTCAGCTACAACTCTATAATAACCCACATGGTTTAGTCACAGCACATTTCAATTTTGAAAATGCCTAAGTTAAAGTGCACTTGATCAGCTTAGCAGGCTAACAAAGCTAAAACCAAGAAAATAGTCCAAAGAGAAACCCCTGAAATCTATATATCTAAAAGCAAAACTGTATGTTTTTCTATCCGCTAACTACTCGCACACTATTTGACCAATCTTCACCAAACTTGGTATTGGTGACTCCTATGGTCTCCAGAAGTAACATGGAGGAGTCAAAATTCCCAGTGGTGGATAGAACAACTTGATAGTGATACAAGAAGACATGAGGGGGTTGGACCACTATATAACCTATATAAATAATAGTCTGTATGTGTGTGTCTGTCTGTCTATTCCTTATACATTTCCATATTTCTTGATCAATCAGCATTAAACTTGACACAGTAATACAGGATCACACGAGAGAAGTGGCGTGGACCTTCATCAAATTTTATATCTAATTTTGGAAACTACCAAATCAGCACAACTTGACACAATGATACAGGCTGACATGAAGAAGGTCATAAGGTGGGTGTGACACCCCAACTAATCTATATATATAAAAGCAAAATTGTATGTTTGTCTGTCCACTAACTCCTCACACACTATTTGACCAATCTCCACCAAACTTGGCATGGCGACTCCTACTGTCCTTAGATGAAAAATAAAAGGGTCAAACTTCCCATGAGGTTTTCCACAAAAAAGGCACACATTTGATTTTGCCAAACAACTTGCAACATGTCATCTATTTCTCTATTTTTCTTTTTTGTTATAATATTGTAACACTGTCCGTTCCTTTTCTCTAAATGGTGGGAAATTCTACTGTAAAAGAAATCTTCAAAGCTCATGAAACTTTACTGAGACAGAACCATGTTTCTGGGTTAATTTTGCTAATGATCAAATATGTCTCTCTTTTTCAATGTGAGGCTGAATGTGCAGGCTCACTTTTCTGTGGTGTTTTCATGTTTATGCTTGTAATATAATCACGATCAAGGAGCACATCCACAGAGCTTCCACCCCTAAAGTGGAGGTGTATAATTTACCAAAAAAAGACTCTTCATATAACTCTACAATTTACCAGTAAATATGCCTTTAAAAAACAAAGACTCAATACTTTATTGTGCAGTGTTTATCAGCAAGTTTAACCTTATGTGATTCTTAAATTTTAAGGTTTAAGTTAAATCTATCATTAGAATAAGGAACTATTTTGTGTTTAAACACAAATGGGTAAGACGAACCAATCATACTTCATCTACATGTATCAATGCTCTGGATTTTAAAAAGACTGGTAGATGAAGTTTTGCCACAGTCTAGGAGTAATTTGACATTTGGTAAAGTGTGCAGAAGTGTCGGTGAGTGTTTTAACTTTCAGTGACACTCCGTTAACAATCGCAAAGTTTAATATTATTTAACTGCCGAAAATGACTTTGTTTTAGGAATCAAAGGGACTTTGGCCATTAAAAAATGTCATTCGAAATATTATGCAGTGGACTACTGTTGTGCTTTTTTTAAAAATGTAACTGTAATGAACATTGTACATTTAAAAAGTACTCATTGTTAGTTTTAAACAAAGGTAGCTGGTGAACTGATGCTCCATACTTAATTATACTGATCACTTTTCTAACAGAAAACTGTGCAGGGAGCTGATATAAAGAACTGAACACTTCTCCAGCAGGAAACTGATACAAAGAAGTGATCACTTCCCTTGGTATAAAATTCATTGTGAATGACTTTAAGCTCTCATTTGATTATTAGCCCTCTAGGAGAAAAGTAATATGTATGCTTAACTTTTAAAATGTCAAGAAAAGCCACGTCAAAATCTCTCTCAAAAAATAGTTCAGAGGCTGCAGGAAAAGCGGAATGAAGTAGAAATGAATAACAAGAGGAAAGAGCAGCAAGGCTAAAAGCTGCAAGAGTTAGAAAAGCCAGTAGGAGGAGAAATAGATCACAGGAAGAAAGAGAAGTAAGGCTTGAAGCTGAAAGAGTTAGAACAGCTGAAATACACTTACAAGAATCTGATGAATTAAGAAATGAAAGGCTTGAAGGAATGAGGGAGTCAGCTGTATCAAGAAGTTTAAGAGAAACTGAAGGGGAAAGAAACAGAGGAAGGCAAAGATTACATTTGGCAGCTCATCACTATGGTATATCAAGAAGCTTTAATTTAGATTGTGTAATTTGTGTTTTGAAAATCAAAGGTTTGGATAAAAATTAAAATGTTATGAAAATTGAATTTTTAAAATACATATTCTTAAAAGACATTTCCTAGTGTATTTAAACATTTATTTCAAGTAATTTGGACACCTGTGCCATGAACATGTAATTCAGCTAGTTTTTTATGTAGTACACTAATTTATGAGCTCTCGTTATAGAATAAGAAATCTTCTGCTCTCACTGTGATAAATTTTAAGAATTTCTTGGATTGTGTAGTTTTATAATTTATTTTTACTTCACTATTATGGTAAACTTTTAGAAGGTCTAGCTACAAAACAAGACAGTCAGGTTTATCTCATTACTCATGACTATTTGTGTGTGCATGCTATAAAGGCTATTATATCTAGCTACAAATCAAGGAAGTTGGGTTTATCCCAATACTTAATGGTTATTTCTATGTGTGAAATGAATAGGCAATGTCTGTCTTCATTTAAATAATCATATCAAAACAGTGTTGATAAAACAAGCATACAAATAGCATTCATCCAGTTCATCTGGAGAAGTGCAATTACAGTATGGAAAAAAATAAGTACTACAGAATGAATTTTGTACTTTTAGTTTTTAACACAAAGTATTCATAACATACAGTTTCACCGATATTCGTGCTAGGCACAAAAGAGAAACTTACTCTCTTAGCTTCTAAGAGTTGATTTTCATCCCTCAACTTTTCTGTTTCTTGGTCTAATTTCAATACTCTTTCACTGAGGTCTTTCTTAACCTGAAAATTCAAGAAATACATTAATACCAGTTATTCTTAAAGATCTAGAAATGTTAAGTAAACTATTAAACACCAAAACATAATATACTATCTTCATCCAAATTTCAAGCTGTAGTGTACATTTCAACATTTTAATACTGGTTCTTAAGAGACATCTCTTTTCAGCAATCCCTTTACTGTAAAAACTTCATCATGAATGACGATAATCAGCAAAACCACTTCTTTAATATTTTTCTCGTGTCAAAGTGGTCCAATTCTTATGATGAGAGATGGAAAGGAAGTAATTTTTGTAAGGTGGACAAGAATAAACTGAAATATCAATACTAAGTGGAAATGTTTTATTTCATTTTATCTTAACTCACAGTAAAATGTTGGTAGTTTACTTAATGTGAATGAAAAATGCCAAAAGAACTGGGACAAAACCAGTCAAATAGTTGAAATTTTTAACCTGAATGGCACCTTATGCATAAATGAGCTAAATGGCCATGTCAGAGACCAGACCAAAGAGAGAGCAGGTCGCAAGTATGCGCAAGTGCTTTGTCTGGCTTCTTGAACCGAATAACAGTTTTGATTGTTGCTTTTATACTACACCAAACTCAAAAGCTTACAGTGTACTCAGCAGAGTTATATTTCGAACTCTGGACCCTTCAATTCACAATCCAACATGCTAAGCACTATACCATGCCCAGCCCCCAAAATATAAATAAACAAACTCATCATTGTACATGTATGGTTAAGGGTGGATATGGCTAGATATAACAAATATCTTCTACTTCATTTGTTGCTTTTAACCGGATAAATCGAAATATACATAAAAGCTATTCTCTGTTTGTAACATTCTTTTTGTTGGTAATGCTTCACTTTCTGCTTGTAATGTTCAACTCTCTGTTCAGAATGCTCATTTTGTTGGTAAAGTCTTGCATTCAAACCCCATTGCAATGGGAATTTTTTTTATAACTTTGTTAATTATCAACTCATTATGCTTACAGCAATATCATAAAATATTACTTGATGGTTTAAATTATGGATTTGAATTATTTGTTAACATTCAATTACAAAGACTGGGTGTCACAATGGTTATAGTGCTCGACTATCATGTGGAATATACCACATTCAAATCTCAGTCAAGTTGAGACTTTATCTTAATTTTGTTTTATTATTATATTCAATTTATTTTTATATATTTATTATCATATTTACAGTAAGCTCTTTGAATATTCAGAAAAATACACAGGCCTGCATTGGTTTTATTGTCTTAAAAATTTTACATGTTCTACAATAATTCCTGTATGCTAAATCCTAAAATGATATTCATCTTTCTCCATCATGTACAGATTTTTCACAAAACGTCATATGTACTTTTATATAAGTGAATCATTTTCATTGAAATTGGGTCAAATTTTATTATGCTTAAAATGTTGACAACCACTGGCTATAGATTTCTCTAGACCAATCGCGACGTAAGTGTTAATGATCGTGCTAGAACCCACAAGAAACACACCGTTAGTAAATAAACGGTTAATAGGCCACATGACGTGTCATTTCTGGATAGTATTTGTTTGAGCGTGCACTTTGACATTATTTTTTCTTTTCATTATTATTTATTTGACACTATGGCAACAATAGATTGTGTAAATGACCCAAACATATTCTGTTATATTTGTGGTAAATTTGTTGTAAATGAAACAAAGGCAAAACATTACAGAATTCATCAAAAAAGTATATTACGCATATTTTGGAATAAAACTTGGGTGGCAAGTCAAATCATGGGCTTTGCACAAAGTTTGCACTGTTTGTGTCGAAGAGTTGAGATGATGGACAAAAGGTAAGAAAAAGTCTTTGCCTTTTAGGAATTCCAATGGTCTGGGGTAAGATGACTGTTATTTTTGCTCATGTAATGTGCAAGGCTACAACACTTATTTCTTATCCAAACCTTCAATCTGCTATAAGACCTGTTGCTCATGGACCTGATGTACCTGTACCTACTCCACTGGAGACTCTTGATACAGTTTCATCTGATTCTGAATCTGATGTCAATAAAAATTATGATAGGGATTGTTTTCAAACTGAAATGTCTGTAGAACCACAATTTTGCACACAAGGTAAACTTAATGATTTAGTGAGAGCTTTGGGCCTTTCAAAGGATTCTTCAGAGCTTTTGGGATCCAGACTTCAGGCTAAGAGCTTACTTTCTCCAGGGACCGTTTTACTGGTACAGAAATCATAAGCAAGAGTTTATACCATACCTTTTGCAAGAAGGTTCACTGGTTTATTGCAACAATATTGATGAATTAATACCAATGTTAGGAGCTGCAGTCTATGAACCAAGTGAGTGACGATTGTTCATTGATTCATCCAAAAGAAGTCTAAAAGGTGTTCTCCTTCACAATGGTAACATATATGCATCTGCTCCTATTGCTTATTCAGTTCACTTGAAGGAAATGTATGGTAGACATGGTAGGCAACTTTTTGGAGACTTAAAAGTTATACAAATTTTCCATGTTTTTTGAGTGAATGGAACAGCAGAGCACAGAATCAACACAGGGGAGAAAGAAACAATGGCCACGCAGAGTCAACCTGATACCAGGATCAAGAAACATTGAACGTGAAAGTTTGGTTGACACAAAGAAAGTCCTATTGCTATGTGGGCAATTCCCAGCTCTTTCAGAAGCAAAACTTAAAGAAAGGATTTTTGTTGGGCCTCAGATTAGGAAATTCACTTTGGATGAACAGTTTGAAAGAACATTGAGAAAAGTTGAAACAGAAGTGTGGATTACCTTTAAAAATGTTATTGATAAATTTTTAGGAAACAACAAGGGCACAAATTACAAAAATATTGTCAATATCATGCTTGATAAATTCAAAGAGTTGGGTTGTACTATGAGTTGGAAAGTTCATTTCTTACACTCACATATTGACTATTTCCCTGAAAATCTTGGTGCTGTTAGCGAAGAACAAGGGGAAAGGTTTCATCATGACATAACGGAAATGGAGAGGAGGTATCAGGGAAGGTGGAACATCAGCATGATGGCTGATTGCTGTTGGTCATTGAAACAAGATGCTCCAGACACAATACATAAAAGAAAGACCACAACACGTAGTTTGAGACTAAAAGAGGTACAGTTCACAAAAAAAAATCAGGATAATAAACAAGATTATGACATTTATGATATACAACATTGTTTATTGACAAAAAGGGGACATAGATAAACGTTTCAGAATTCTATCAGATTCTGTCTTCAGTATCTAAAGCAAAATAAAATAAATTCACATAAGGTATTGGACATTGTTAAATTACAAATATTGCTAAATATAATGATAATTAAACAAATAAAACACAAAAAAGTAATCATGGGGAGAAACTGCAGCAAGAAAACACAACAAAAAAAGTAAAATCAGTAATACGAAAATATTAAAAAATGTATAATTTAAATGAAGACTGCATGTTGTCCAGAGTTGGAGAGTGCTGTTTGATGTGGAGTGTTTCTTTAATTAATAATTCCAGGTGAGTATTAGACTTGCAAAGGATAGAGAAATTTGATAGTATAGGTTGATGTTCTGTTTCTTCACTATGTTGGCATATAGAGAAACACAGGGGTTACTCAATTTTTTTGCATTTTGATGGAAATTCCCGTATGTTCATAGGCTCTGACTTTTAAGTGGCGTTTGGTTTTGCCAATATAGAAGGCCTTACAGTCTCCACATGTGTAAAGATAGACAAGCCAGGAACAACAAGGAATGGGGAGGAGATCAAATGCCATTTAAATGTCAGAGCTTATGAACATATGGGAATTTCCATCAAAACATTTATCTATGTCCCCTTTTTGTCAATAAACA